GAAAAAGGTAAAAAGGAAACTAAATAAAAAATTAATAATAATCTTAAAATCTAATAATTCATTAAGGGTATCTATGTAATCAACCATCGCGAGAAAATTAAATAGATTATTATTATTATTATTTAAAATTTTATGTTCTTATTGTAGTTAGATGTTTAATTTTGGATATAAATTAGATTAGTCGAGTCATTCATTTTGTGAGCATATTGAGTTAAATATATTTTTAATTTAAAACTGAAGTATAATTACTTTTTATTTGAGTTAAGTCAAATCAAATTATTTTTATTTATCTCTTAAATATACATGTATTTTCATAATATTTATTTACTCTTTATTTTAGTTAATTTAAATAAAATTATTTTTATTTATCGCTTAAATATACATGTATTTTCATAATATTTATCAAATTATATGATGATTTCTTAAAAATATTAGAAAATAGTGTAACTGATAAATTTTGAATGGTCACGAACATATATATTTTTATTATTTTGAAAATAAATTTTATGTTATTTAAAATATATATTAATGGGGGTATTACTATTTTGTCAACTTTCCTTTTTAATAAAGTCATATTATATACATATATTTTCGTTTTTAAATTAGTTTTAAAATTTTAGAAATATTTCCTTTTTATTATATATGTTATTTGTAAAAAGGTAAAAAGGAAACTAAATAAAAAAAATTAGTAATAATCTTAAAATCTAATAATTCATTAAGGGTATCTATGTAATCAACCATCGCGAGAGTTAACGTGAGCGCGACATGTAGGAAACTGACTTCTCAAATAATATTATAGAGATGTTATCTTACATAGTAGCAAAGAAGATGAAAACAACTAATAAGCAATTACCTTTTTCAAATCATAAGTCCCTCTCTTGCCATAATCAGAGTTCGGTATCACTGACTGTAACTCCGATATAAACGCAGGTCCTCTCTGCAATCAAAGCAGCACCAACATAACATTAGAAGCCAAAACCACAACAAAAAGTCACTAAACTAGATGGTAGTTAGGAGTTGAATAAAAGACTAGAGCTTAGGCGGATTATAGGAGTTCTAGGCTAGGCGTTAACAAATTATTTGTTTAATTATTATATACCTTATATTTATGTTAGACATTTTATGTTTTTGTGTACTTTGAGAAGTTATTTAAAAATTGGAAATACTAACAATGAGACAATATTTGAAAGAAAAACGATCATCTATAGACAAACTGATGGTGAAGATGATATAGTTAAATTAGTTATAATCCATTTTGATGTTACTTGATTCAACCGATTTACCCCAATTTAGACAGATTTCGAAATGAATTAAACCGATTGAACGCATCCTAAATCGCTTTTAGAACACTGCTTTGCTTCAACCTTTTATGTCCATTGTTTGCTTTAGCAAGAAGGTTGAAGCAAAGCCAGATTCTTTTGACGTAGACATTATGAACAAATTTCTATGTACCTGTCCAAATGTAATCTCAGTTTAGCCTGCAAATTGTTTGAGATATTCAATGGTTCCCACAGAGCAAAGAGGGTATCTAGACATTATAATGGACAACACGTTGAAGCAACCGGACTGTTTGATGACATGGATAACAATGGGATAAACCCGGACGTTTTGACTTTTGAGTTACAACATGATGATCGAAGCGAATAGTAATGCAGGGAGATGAAAAAAGAAGCATACAAGTACTTAAAAGTGATGCAAACTGTTTGCCTAATCAAGAAACCAAGATTCAAAAAGAAAGTTTCTTTTGTACGGACCAACCCAAACAATGATCCTTTCTCATAGTTTTCTTGTATTATCAAATACAGATCAATTAAGAAACAAAATTAACCATTTAAATCAATTATTATTCACAAAAAATTCAGTCCTTTACAACCTCAAACCCTACCAATCTCTATTTTCTTCATTCACAAAATCAGAAGAGGCCAAAGAGGATCGAAAACCCAAGAGCCATGAGCCAGACAATGTGGATCAAAAGCAGAGCTTGTCCAGGAACAGACAACCCAACGCCATTACCAACATCGCAAGCACCTTGTTTAGAGACACGAACGCCATGGCACAAAGCATCCGCACAACCGCACCAGTAAGTAACGCCGTCTTCGCCGCAAACCGGATCAGCCCTAAAACACTTAACCGGACAAGAACCCGGTTTAGACGCTCCTCCGCAGAATTCGCCGTTGATCTTCTCCGAAGGTAATCGAATCTCTCCTCCCTTGTTAATCTCCGTCGAAGAGTTAGATGAAACCAGAAGAATCAGAGAAAGGAAGGAAAGTAAGGCCAACGACGGCGAAAACGTCGACATTGCCGAGATTTGGATCTTGAATTTCGCCGGAGAATCTGTCAAATCAAACGTTGTTTCCTCTCTTTTTCTTGAAAGGAAACAACGACAGGAGAATTAAAGACGAAGGAAAGAATGATTCAGGAAAAATCTTTTACAAAGAATAATTTTTCTTTTATTTATTTAGCATAGATTCTAAATCTGGAAAAGAAGAAAAAGTTTTCTTTATTGCTGACAAAAAAAAAAGAATGTTTTAAAATTGGTTATTCGTGTATGAGTAGGAACAGTTGGTTTAACGGCTATCAACCAAAACAGCGCACATGCTTACTTACGATTTTTACCAGCTGGTCACCCACTTGCGAACTCGAACTTTACACAAGGACAATAGAACTGTTTAAATATATGAAAATTATGGTGTCCGTAAAACGGCCGTAAGCATGATAGTCAATAGCGTTGGTCAAATATCCGGCAAGAAGATTAAACCGACTTAAATATTTCAAATAAATCTATAGTTTTATTTCTAAAAGGTCTTTTAATTCTCATTAATGATGTTTTATCTTCTTTTTTTTTTTGAGCACATCACACGACAAATGTTATCCAAACAAATTATGGGTTTGGGTCATAATCAAGATTATCTATACTATTAAAATAAAAATCACAACTCATCCCATATGTGATTTTTAAGTTGGACCATTCCTTACAGAATTTATTATATGTCTTATTATTAAACTAATATTATCCTAACAATAAATATATTTCCAAACTAAAATATATTATGTAATAACCTTCCAAATTTAATTGATATACTTATAAATATATAGGTCATAACTATGTTAGATTTTTATTAAAGAGGATAAGATCATTAGAACTGTAGTCTCACGAGCAATAATCCCTTATATATTAATCCTGAAACATTCATAAATTCACAACCTTGGAGAGTATGCTTACGTTTCAAGCTCACAGAGCTTCTCAGCTTTAATTTTTTAATGGACCAACTTTGCTATGAATGAAATAATGTAACATTTAATTTCTTACATTTAGGACTATAATATATAGACATTTTTTAAGGGACCAACTCTGCTAGGTATAAAACAATATATTTTATTTCCTTAAATAAAAGCTACGGAATTACCTAATATGATTAACATATATATGTAATTAATGGCTATGAAAAATACATATTTGTGTATCCTCTCTCTTTTTTGTTTAATTTTAAATTATTAAAATAAATTAAAAAATCACATTTAAATATATAATAAAAAATTAATTTTTTTCTTATAGGTTATATTTTAAATTTTTTAAAACGACCATAAATAACTAAAAATAGTAAAATCCCACATTGAAAATTTTATGATCAATGGTTTAACTTTGTTTTTTTTTTCCAAAGAAAATACAAATTATCATAAATCGTACGAATATGAAGTATCATTAGTAGATATTCATTCTATAAATATGTTAATTTAAAAATTTCAGTGAAAAGGTTTGAGGTTAGTAGATACAAATTATAGTATTCGAAAGATTTTTGTAGTTTGTTTTATTTGCTTCTTTTTTTCAATATCTTTTAGTTTGTTTAGATAATTTAACTAATTTAAATTAGATTTCTTAATAGTTTAAATATTTTGATTTTTTGTCAACTTTTAATGTTTAACAAATATTTTTTTGGATGATTTCAGATATTGGTTACAATCCAATCCAAATTGAATTGAAAAGATCAAATCGAATCCAATCCGATAATTAGTAAAATTCAAATAGAATTTATTAGAATAATACCAAAATCTGAAAATACGTGTCAATCAAACTAAAACCGACGAAGTCTCAAACGTCTAAACCTATGATGATTTAAGATACCAACATTTGTATTCATTTTATAATCGATAAATACTGTAGTATTTCAAAATGTTAAAAACCATTTAATGAATAAATCTTAGTATAAAAATTTCACTCCGCGCATGCGCGCGGGTTATCATCTAGTAAACATTATTCTGCTTCTAATCCCATGGCATACATAGTGACAAAATACACGAGTTGATTATTAAATCAAGCCTACTATCCATTTTAACAGATTTGGTATAGATTTTAATGTAGATTATTTCAGAAAAGCAATATTATTTATATTGCACTCTGCACACAATTTTATTCAAACGATACATTCATATAACACTAAAATACATATGCCTCAAAAATATTATTTAGATTGCACTCTACATCCAGTATCAATTGAGTTGTTATATCAAACCAATTTACTAAGCAAGTTTAATATTAATTTCAGAACTATAAGTTTATAACTACACTTTAAAATAGAAGCCATAACATCTTTCATGTATGATTTTTTTAGTTGAACCTTTTATTAGAAATTTATAAATTTTAGTATTTTAAAAATCCTAATAAATATACTGAAAAAAAGAATTTCACAAGATCTCTTGAATTGTTTATGTAAATATGTTTACTAATTTTTTAATTAATAATACAATATTATTATACTTTAATATATATATATATTCACTTATCAATTATTAAATGAAAAATAAATAAAATATCATATTATTATAATCATAATAATCTATCATATTAAAATTTTATTATACTGAACTGAATATGAAAAAATTATATTAAATTGATGAATTAATATATTTTATTTTCATAAACATAAATATTTAGAGAGAATATAATATGTTAACAAAACAAGTTAACAAACTAAACTATATTATATATGTATACAAATTAACATATCTTAAAATTGTATATATATACAAGAATAATTTATCTAAATGAAGAAACATAAAAATACTAAAATGTAATTCAAACTTGAGAAAATTTCAAAACTAGCACTTTCTTAGTATCTATTTTCATCTTTACCTTAACCATGATTACCTTTGGATTTAAAGAAGTGAAAATATATTTATACCCCTAGAGTTAACTAATCTAGACTTAGGGTTTAGATTTGAGAGGAGATTTTGGGGGGGGGGGGTAGGGTTTAGAATTTTAATATAAAATATAAATAAATATTTAAAATCAAAACAGGCTAACATACTAAACAATATTATAAATGTATACAAATTAACATATCTTAAAATTTTATATATACAATAATATCCATCTAAATGAAGAAACATAAAAAATACTAAAACGTAATTTAAAACTTGAGAAATTGTCAAAACCATCACTTTCTTAGTATATATTTTCTTAATGAGGATGTTAACATTTCGAGAGACATCTTGAATAATAATATTTGTAGAACAAGATTAAATGTATCTATTTCAAGTTTTACCTTAATCATATTTACACTTGATTTTAAAGAAGTTAATATATAATTATAACTTTACGGTTATCTAATCTAAACTTAGGGCTTAGATTTGAGGGGGGAGGGGGTTTGGAAGGCATGGTTTAGATTTCTTTAAAAAATATAAATAAATATATAAATTAAAATAAAAACTTTAAAATAGTTTTAAAAAGAATTTTTGAATTTCAAAATGAAAATTTGAAAAAATTGAAAAGAATATTTATAAAAAATTTCGAGTTAGAAAAACTTGAATTTGAAAACTTAAAAAATATTTATTTTATTTTTTATTTGTTTAAATAATTATTTCTATTTATAAATCAAAGGCGTCAATGTATTTTATCTCTTTAATGAAATTTCATGTTTAGTTATTTTTTAAATGTCCATTTAGAGAAGGCAAACATGAATAATGGTACCAAATAAAATGTAAAAGTGAAGTTCTCCCTCGAAACTTTGAAGTGCGGGTAAGAAAACATACATTTAATTTTAAAATATGTTGTTTTAAGCATATATTGATTCATTTAATAGTCAAATGAAAATCTAACAAGACAAATATATAATAAGTGACAAATACATGTGACGGTTTTTGAAACAAAAGATTAATTACGACATGTAAATTGTAAAATATTGTTTTTGAAATATTTCTATAAAATTTTAAATATGTAATTAAGTTAAAAATATATATACCACTAATGATGTCAAATAAATATCTATAAGTATATAAATGAAATCAAATATCCGAGTGGTTGCGCGGATCAAAATTTAGTTCATTATTTAAATGCTTAAATTTGAAAACTCATTAGTATAATTTGACAAAAAAATATTCTATTATAGATTAATGAAATTTATATTATTAAAACATGATCCTTTATGTTTTTCCCCTTTAATAAAAATTCAATTTTACTTAAAATACCCTTATTTTCTAAAGGTATTTTAATCTCCCTATATATTAAAAGAGAAGTCACTTTAATGAATTTTGCTTACGTGTCATTCATAGGTGCAATATAGAATTAATTCTCTTAATTTGATTGGTTGTCGGCATTTGAATTTTTATTTATTTAATTAAAGTTTTTAAAAGGAAACTAATCTCAGAATTACCAAATCTAATATATATTACCAAACAAACAATTAACCATCTTAAATACATAGGATTAATAGAATTTGTTTATAGAAACAATTAAATATCATATATTCCATTATAAAAATTTAGAATATACATATAAATACATATTATATTATAGAAATAAATATATAAACGATTTTAAATTTTTTTCTATTAATAGTGGATAAAAAATCATACATTACAGAAAACTAATAATATATTTATACTCACTCACTATATATATGTATTCTTAAAATATGTTCAATGAATGCAAAACATTCAAATGTAATTTTTTTTAAAAAATACTATAATTTTCAATAGATAAATGTCGATAGTATAGTTGAGTTATCACTTTCAAATATTATTTAAGTACTTTTATATTTAAAACAGAAAAATATATGGTTTGTCATTTTAAAAAAAAATATGAATAAATAAAAAAGTTTATTATAATATAAAATTAAAAAAAAATCAAAAAATTATATTAATACAAGACTAGAGTTAATATTCTATTCATATAATTCATATAGCTTTAAGTATAATAAAATTGGCATGTTTATTTTTAATTAGAAAAAAAAAAAGAAAAAAGACATAAATAAAAACATGAGTGAATAATAATAAAACCTTTTGTTGTATTCTTCGCTATTTTGTATTTGTACATACATAATTTTTTATTTGTATACCAAAATATTTTTACGTATTAATATAATTGTAAAATAATTATTTTTAGGTGTTTATACAACATAAAGAAAAATTTAATGATTAGTATTTTTTCGGTGTAATAAACTTTTAAAATATATGATAACAAAGTTATAACAAAATTTATACAACTAGAAACATGTTATTTTGATATATTAAAA